AGGCTGTTAATTTTTTTGTCCTTAAGCAGCAGGGAATTTCTTCCTCATCTATCCAGGAAGATACAAGGACAGACAGATACTGCACTTGAATGTCTGCATCATTTTAATTACATCAGTTCATTAATATTCATTTGGCACTTTACAAGTGCTGAGTAGTACTAAATTAGGTGCCTCCCTGGTGCCTTTCCAGTTGCAGTGGGGCAATTTTGAACGTGGGAGAGTGGGCTTGTGAGCAGAGCCCTTCTCCTCCCTGCCGTGGCACAGGGGAGTGCTGGGGTTTTTGTAGCTAAATGGATGGAAGAGGCAAATCCTGCAGATGCACATGCTGTTCAGCCTCAAGGCAGACGTGCAGCCTGGCACTGACTGTTGGCAGGGCTTGGGGGGCAGGGGGGAGTTTGTTCAGAGGCAGTTAAAGCAAACAGCTTGCGCCTGCACACCAGGTATTTACTGTGCCTCCCATGAATTATGTAGGATTACAGAAGCAGCAGTCTCTCCAGCATGCTGTAATTCTTCGTGCTGTTCTAAGTCAAACGCCCACCCTTCTGATTAACCTCTTCACACCCATCCCCTGCCCAGAGGCAGGTTCCTGGGCAGGGGGGACAGGGCTGTGGGAAACCTGCACGTTTCACCTGCCTTTGAGCCAGTGCTGACCAGGCAGTGAGAAAACTGACTCCTCTCTCCAGCGAGTTCCTTCCAGGTGTTGACTCCAGCCAGCCTTCCATGGCATCTGCCAAGCACCCTCATTTAACTTGTGTCAGAGTTGTCTGCAGTTGATGGGACCCATGCCTCCTGCTGCCATTAGCAGAGCTCTCCCACCCTCTGCTACGTGGGGCTGGGAATGTCACTGTTCTTGATCTTGTGGTCCTGTCTGCACCTTGAGTAAATCTTTTGTCCTTTGACATGTGGGATTATCTTTTACATGGCCTAAGAGAGGCCACATGAAGCATAGGAAGCAGCTTTGCATTGAACTGTGGGGCTCTGGGGATTCTCCCTGCAGAACTGGCATTGCAGACCCAGTGGGAGTTAACAGGTTATCTCTAGTTTCTTGGTGTTCCAAGACCAGACACGTCTCCGAGTCAGTGGGTACCCAGGACTAAACATTTCCATCTCTTTTTCCTCATATGTGAAATTTGGATGGTAAAAATGTACACACCTCTGTAAGTGCCAGAGATTTACAGATAGATGCCTTGTCTCCTCCAGCTCACCCCCTTGCATATCCACCTACACAATTAATGTCTGAAAGCTGCATCACACCTATTCCCTCTCCCACAGCTGTTGATTTACTATGGAAACAGGCTGGTGGCTCAGTCTGGGTTTCAAAGAGGACACTTTTGTGTAGCTGGAGGAGAAAAGTCAAGGAGCCAGCTCTGAAATCTTGCAAATTTGTCTGTGCTTCCCCAGTGAGAATTCATTACTGAAAATGCTGCATTATCTCACTGATGTCCTTTCCATTACCTGTTCCCTGAATTGCCTCCTGTGACATTCCCTGGGAGAGCAGCTGCTGTCACCCCAGCTCCCTCCCCCAGAGAGCTGCTGCCTGGAGCTCCCCAAGCCCCTGCCTGCCCAGGCATCCCTGCCTTCTGCTGTCCATCTCTGCCCCTTTCCCTGTTTCCTGGGTGTACCTGAAGCCTCCCTGCTCCTGTCAGCAGCCAGCACTGGCTCCCTTGTACGGAAAGGAAGGCAGTCTTCTGTAGGAATGGGAGCAGTGGGGAGCCCTGTGGTGGGGCTGGCAGTTCCCCCAGGCTGAGCTCACTGCTGATTCTGCAGCTCTGGGAGCCCAGGCAGGTCAACCACAGGGTCTGAACAGCTTGGTTGTGGGTTCCGCAGCGCTGTGCTGGAGGGATGGTGCTGCCAGAGCCACTGACAAATGAATCAAAAGTATCAGATAAGTCAGTTGACAATGAACTTAGCATCTTTTCTGTGGAGAAGTGGAGTGTTTTGGTGGGGTCAGGATCTGAGTTCAGGGTGGAGGGTCTGTTTGTACCTGTTGTGGCTGCCCTGGACTGGGCAGCTGCTCCTCACACAGCTGGGGACAGGCATCTGTCTCATGTGTCCTTGGTCACTATTGAAGGGAGAAGAGTGAATCAATGGATCTATTATCCATTAAAACCCAGTGCTGGAGGAGGAATTTTATTGCATAGCATCATTCCCATCCTGCTTGCACTTGGGCATGCCTCAGGAGGGGCCTCACAGCATGCCTGGTGCATGTCTGTACCAGTGGGCAGCCTGCTCAGCAAACGAGTTGATGCTGCCATGACCTTTCAGATACAGCAGAGGTACATGGGATGCAGCCTTCCCTGCAGCTTGGTGGGCCAGCTCACCTTCCAAAGTTCAGGAAGCAAGGGGGAAGGGGATCATCTTAGATGCATAATCATTCAGAACTGGGGATTCCTGCAATAAAACAATTTTCATCAAGCAAAATGAGAAGAGACATTATTGCAACAGTTAATAGCGACTAAGTGCTGGGGGGGGAGATGTGTCAGCTTGCTTGTTCTGTTTATGGGCTTTATACAATTCCATCAATATTGATGTGTGATGCCTTTGATTTTGACACTAATCATTGCTATGAATTAAATTTGCAGCCATATAATTAGGACTGCTATTAATAGGGCCTCAAGCTAAGCACTGCTGAGCCAGTTGTCTTTTTCCTGATGGGAAACGGCATCCACGGAACTCGGCTAATGTGGTTTGTCTGGTAGATGCTGAGACTGATGTGAAAATTATATTTGCTCCATTTAGAGGGGCTCCCCTGAATGGCAGGTTCATGAGAAGAGTCTGACTCTGATGTTTCCTAAGAATTGCACTGGGAGTTGCCCTTAAACTTCCTAGTAGTTTTCTGCTCTTTAAGATATAGAGATTTGGTGGGAGAGAAGAGGGTTGCAGGAAGAGTAACCCTCAGTTCCAAGTGCTGCTATGGCAAGCCTTGTTTCCCTTCCCTTTCTCGTGCAAATGTTTCCATTCATTTCTCCCACTTGGTGCTGTTTCAGCTCCCTTTGTCCCTGTTCGTGCCCAGTTTCATCTCCTCAGGCTGAGCACAGGCTGGGATAGCAGAGTGGCTCACCACTGAAAATCAATCTTGTGTTTCATCCCAAGAGGTGTGTTTCTTATTAGATCTAATAAATCAGTGAAGTGCCCTTCATTCAGCTTGTCAATGGAGGACACTGTTTGTGATCAAGAATAAATAAATGTCCTTTCTGTGTCTGAACAGAGCACTGTCTATATATTATTTTGCCATCCTGCTGTGGCCGGGTGCTGCAGCCAGGAGCAAACAGAAAATGCTCTGCACTGTGTCTGTCCTCAGTGAAAACTGGTGTTACAGGCACCCAGTTAGGTAATGTCAGGTGCCCTGAGTGAAGGACAGTGTGTGCACCTCTGTTCACACCCCACCCTCCTGGATAGGTGGGTGTCAGACGTTGTTCTCAGCTGTAACGCTCTGTCCCAGCGGTGGCTGCAGGGCTTGAATCAGTTGTGACAGGCAAGGTCACCGTGAAGAGCTGCTTGGGTTCTGTCTGGAGGAGAGTGCTGCAGAAAAATATGTAGTAGGAGAACTCGTTTTCACGATTTGAAACACGTTCCTGTTTACCTGTTGAATGCCTGGTGTGCAATGTCTGCCCGTGCTGCCAA